ATAAATCACATAAAATTCCAATAGTATTCTTGTAACGTTTTTATGATGATACTCCAGTTATATTCTTGCAAAATTCACGTTATATACCCGCAAAATTCACATATCTGTTAAGTTAGCATTCCCCCCCACAAAAAATCAAAACTGCACCTATGTCAGAATTAAGTGCTATTTATGTGCTAATTATGTGTTCTAATGCCAATTTTTATGGTCAAACGATTTAGCAGAAAATCGCAATTAAAGGTGGGGGTGCTGGTTTAACGCTAAGTTAGCACCTCCTTTATTAAATCATAAACAAAATGAAAAAATTACAGTAAAATTATGTGCTTTTTATGTCCTTTCAATATCATAAATCAAAATTATTGTAACAGTAAGGTTTAAGAGATACACGTATATATCAATAAATTTCGAAACATATTATAACAATGGTGCAAGAGTAAAGTGCCAGTTAAAATGCAGACAGCGAATTGGTTCTAGGCTCAAATTGTTCCTCCATTTATGTGCTTTCAAAATATGTACTACAAGATTTTTGTGCTCATCCCTTTTGACGGGTAAATCACCCTCGAAGTGATCACTCCCTTCCCCTTACAAGAGTAAAGTGCCAGTTAAAGTGCAAATACCGAAATATTCCTATTCTCAAATTGTTCCTCCATTTATGTGCTTTCAAAATATATATTACAAGATTTTTGTGCTAACCTCCTAGTACTGGCGCTTTACTTACTTTAACTGGCACTTTCCTCTTGTAAGGAGAAGTGAGTGATCACTTTGAGGGTGATTTACCGGTCAAAGGGGATGAGCACAAAAATCTTGTAGTACATATTTTGAAAGCACATAAGTGAAGGAACAATTTGAGCCTAGAACCAATTCGCTGTCTGCATTTTAAGTGGAGGAACAATTTGAGCCTAGCACTTTACTCTTGCACCGTTGTTATAATATGTTTCGAAATTTATTGATATATACGTGTATCTCTTAAACCGTTACTGTTACAATAATTTTGATTTATGATATTGAAAGCACATAAAAAGCACATAATTTTACTGTAATTTTTTCATTTTGTTTATGATTTAATAAAGGAAGTGCTAACTTAACGTCAAGCCAGCACCCCCACCTTTAATCGCGATTTTCTGCTAAATCGTTCGACCACAAAAATTGGCATTAGAGTACATAATTAGCACATAAATAGCACTTAATTCTGACATAGGTGCCGTTTTGATTTTTTGTGGGGAGGGGGTGCTAACTTGACAGACATAAAATTCACGTAATCTGCGCGCAAGATGTAACATGCGTGTAAGAGTTATGTAACATGTTATAAGATTTATGTAACATGGGTGTATAGATTCATGCATGATTCTTGATTTACCTATAGGTATGTGATATATTCTTATACGATCTTATATATTCCTGTTCGAAATTCGCATGCGAAAATTTTCTTGGAAGATCTCACAAAAATTTTTCTTGTCAGAATTTGCAGCACATAGTATACATTATGGGGGGAACCCGTTTGCCTACAAATCGATTGCCTACAGTATCTTTTGCCTACAACTCGATTGCCTAAATGCGCTTTTGTGCACAAATATAAATTTTAGAAACGGAGCTACTTTTGCCTACATGTACTATTGCCTACAGTTCGATTGCCTACAGCTCGATTGCTTACATGCGCTTTTGCGCACAAATAAAAATTTTAGAAAAAGAGTTACTTTTGCCTACATGTACTATTGCCTACAGTTCGATTGTATACATGTATTATTGCCTACAGCTCGATTGCCTACATACATTATTGCCTACAGCTCACAACTTTCCACGCAAAATGAGTGCTACCTTACACCAACAAATGGTTTGATTAGGGTTAGATTTTTTTGGAAAAATATTCCAAGCGGACACTGTCTACGCTGACACCTCACTGTTCACATGACAGATTTCCTAAAAATATAAATTATTTTCTTACTTAACTTTAATTTTATATTTGTGCGCAAAAGCGTATGTAGGCATTCGAGCTATAGGCAATCGAGCTGTAGGCAATAGTACATGTAGGCAAAAGTAGCTCCGTTTCTAAAATTTTTATTTGTGTGCAAAAGCGCATATAGGCAATCGAGCTGTAGGCAATTGAGTTGTAGGCAATAGTACATGTAAACAAAAGTAACTCTGTTTCTAAAATTTTTATTTGTGCGCAAAAGCGCATGTAGGCAGTCGAGCTGTAGGCAATAATACATGTAGGATGTAGGGAATCAAACTGTAGGCAAAAGTGATGTAGGCAAAAGATACTGTAGGTAATCGATTTGTATTAGGCAAAACCAACCATCTCGTACATTATATTAATATATTACGTGAATATTAATGGACTATTACGTGTAGTGCGCACCAATTTCCGCGCTGTGTTAACGTTCTCATTGCCCGTGTACTCTATTACTGTTTATAATTATTAGGTGTACAACTTTGCTTCCGCCGTTTTCCTATAGATAGGTTTAGCGGTAAGTAGTGGTCGAAATAAATAGATCATAGACGTCATACAATAAACTTGGGCATCTGTCAACATAAGATTAGTCGATATATAAATTAGTATAGAAAGATTAGTCGATTTGTGTCTGCATCATAAAGTTATTCTCGATTGAAAATGTCAGTTTACGAGCCAAATTCTCGTCATTTGCGGGAGGTTTTAATTTTCTGCTTCAATATGAAGAAATCTGCGGCTGAGGCACATCGAATGCTCTCAAATACTTATGGTGAGGCCGCTATTAGTGAAAGAACGTGCCGTGAGTGGTTTCAACGTTTCAAGAACGGTGATTTTGACGTCGAAGACCGGCATATAGCGGTGGAAGAGAGATGGTTTTCGAAGATGCAGAATTGGAGGCATTACTTGATCAAGACTCGTGTCAAAATCAAGAAGAATTGGCACGATCATTGGGAATGATTCAACATGCCATTTCAAAACGCTTCAAAGCAATGGGAATGATTCAGAAGCAAGAAAATTGGGTGCCGTACGAGTTGAAGCCGAGAGATGTTGAACGGCGTTTGTTTGCTTGTGAACAGCTGCTTGAAAGGTAAAGACGGAAGGGATTTCTGCATCGCATTGTGACTGGGGAAGAAAAATGGGTTCATTACGATAATCCCAAGCGCAGAAAATCATGGGGAGTTCCCGGCCATGCTTCCACGTAGACGGCCAAACCGAATATTCACGGCAGTGTATTATGAGCTGTTGGGAAGTCCTATCCCACCCGCCGTATTCTCCAGACGTTGCTCCCTCTGACTATCACTTGTTTCGATCAGTGGCACACGGCCTGGCTGACCAGCACTTCCGGTCTTATGAAGACGTAAAAAATTGAATCGATTCGTGGATCGCCTCAAAAGATGACCAGTTTTTTTGTACGCTGTCCAAAAGATGGGAGAAAGTAGTGGCCAGCGATGGACAATACTTTGAATCATAAATGTATAACCAGTTTTTTACAATAAAGCCTCGAATTTCGGAAAAAAACGGCGGAAGCAAAGTTGTACACCTAATATTATGATTAATATAATATTAAGTTCAATAAATTAAACACAATGTATTAGGCGCCAACTAATAAAATTCAAACAATCAATAATAAAAAGGCAAAGAAGCCACGCTTGATTCGTGCTCCATACAATATTTATATGTTTACAGTAAAATAACAGTAAAACAAACATACATACAAATGTTTCGATTTTTTTACATCAGGTCCTGTTCAGTGTGAGAAAACTTAACGCAAATTTTACATTTCAAATTCTTCTTAAGATAGGCTTCATATCGAGATTCCTACGCTTCGCTACTTTAGAATTATCCAAATTGAATTGATCATAATCCCTTATGAAGAACGTAGTGTATATCTATGTATTATCAACATGTAATCTAAATTGCTACGCCTGAAACTCCCTAAATCTTGTATATTCTGTGACTTGGATGTATAGTATTTTATTACTCCATCACATAGTATATATCATTCTGCTAAAAAAATTCTTTTTTAATCTAACAAAAAAATGTAAACAATATTAAGAATCTCTATTTTAGACTACATATGTGAAAAACACAATTAATACTAGAAATTTAAAATGCCTATTACGATCGAAGTTGGATCTTCATTGCTTTAAATAATTCAATCTTGTAATAAACACTATATTTGAACTTATGCATATACATATACCATATATTGTAGTCTTTTCGAACTGCGCGCCGGATTGTTTTTCCCGACTATAAACCCAATTAAAATCACTGTAGGGTAACTGTCCCAATTACTGTGCCTGTCCCTATTAGTGTACTATTGTATTTCGATAAGTCATGAAGAAAACTAGCATGAATAAATAAGAAAAAATATTTTTTCTTGTTAAGTTAAACTATTAATGCATACGATAATATTTTATTTTTTGAGTATTAAAGTATTTTAAATATTTTTCAAAAGATATGAGGAATTTATGTGAGTCCAGTAATACGTACCGCAAGATTTTAAGCGTTTCTATTAATATGCCCTGTATTGGAGCTGAGAATATTGTGTTATGAGTGTACATTGAAATAAATATATAATTGAAATAATGATTTATGTCATATTAACTTAAGCAATTAGCTTAAATTTACTATCTGTTTTAGGAACTACATGTTAAAATGAGTCAAATGTGAATAGGCACACAAATTGGGGGCACATTAATAGGGTCATCGCCGTTTGGAGGACTCACTAATAGGGACAAAATCATGTTTTTTATTTTTGTCAAAAACATTATAAAGTATTACCATTTTTAGATTAAAGAAATGTTATAAGAAAAAGAAATAGTTGAAAACCCGATATTGATTGCAAGTAGATAAAATTAAACCCACAATATTTAATAATTAATTCAGTAATAAGCAAGTTGGCTAAAAGGCACATTAATAGGGACAGTTGCCCTAGTAATCGTGAATTAAATTGACGAGCAAGCAATTTTAATAATTCGATACTACGAGGGTCATTTGAAAAGTTTCCGGCCTTTTTAAGAAAAACACATATTTCAAAGCAAAACAAAATTTATTTCTCGACGTAGTCTCCCTGCAACTCGATACATTTGGTCCAACGTTTCTCCCATCCTTTTAAACCATCAGAAAAAAATTGATTGTCTAAACCTGAAAAATATTGATTTACAGCGTTTTCCACCTGAGCGTTTGACTTATATTTTTTTCCCCCGAGAAATTTTTTCAAATTTGGAAACAGGAAAAAGTCGCTGGGAGCTAGATCTGGTGAATAGGGTGGGTGCGGAAGCAATTCAAACTTCAATTCGTTCAATTTTGACATTGCGACCATCCACGTGTGAACCCGAGCGTTATCCTGGTGAAACAGGATTTTTTTCTTGGCCAAATGCGGACGTTTTTTCTTAATTGTGGCCTTCAATTTATCCAGCAATGCAGCGTAGTACTGTCCGTTGATTGTTTCACCCTTTGCAAGGTAATCGATAAGAATTATTCCACGGCTATCCCAAAAAACTGTCGCCATCACTTTTCCTGCAGAGAGAACGACCTTTGCCTTCTTCGGAGTTGGTTCCCTCACCACACACCACTGCTTTGACTGTTGTTTGGTCTCAGGCGTATGGTGGTGTATCCAGGTTTCATCGACGATTATCATTCGCCGCAAAAATTCCGCTGGATTTTTTTGATACAGGCTAAGACACTCGCGCGATATGTCCATCCGTATGCGCTTTTGGTGGATCGTCAACAAACGCAGCACCCAGCGCGCGGATAATTTTCTCATATCTAATTCTTGATGTAAAATCTTGTGCACCTGTTCAGATGATATACCACAAGCAATATCCTTAACAGTCAATCGACGATCTTCTATCACAGTTTGATGCACTAAATCGATCATTTCGTCAGTTGTAGCGATTTTCGGGCGCCCAGAACGTTTCTCGTCTAAAATGCTCGTACGACCACGTTTGTACTCGGCCACCCAACGTTTGACCGTTGTAAATGAAGGGGAGGCTTCACCGTATACAGAGTCTAACTCATCTTTTATTTCCTGAGTCTTTTTGCCTTTCAAATGAAAGAATTTTATCACTGCGCGATACTCGATTTTCTCCATTGTTGACAGACAATGTCAGCTGACAACTTTGGAGAGTTGCCATAGACAAAGTAATGATCAGAATAACTTCAAATTTTTACGGTTTACATATGTCAAGGCTATCTATCGGACGACAAAAGAAACTTTTTTCTACAGTTACTTTATGTCGATGAGGCCAGAAACTTTTCAAATGACCCTCGTACCATCAAGAATCATATTGTAAAGATGTTAATATGTTAAAATTATTAATAAATTTATTGTGAAAAATATTACCTCGTCCGGTTATAAAAATTGCTTGTCAATTTAATTCACGATTACTAGAGTGATTTTAATTGCGTTCATAGTCCGGAAAATCAATTCGGCGCGCAGTTCGAAAAGACTATAAGATGGTATATATGCAAGTACATACATAATGTATATTAGTAATTCAAGATTGAATTATTTAAAGCAATAAAGATCCAGCTTAGACCGTAATAGGCATTTTTAATTTCTAAAAAAGAAATATCCCTGCTGAAAAAAATCATGTCACAAAATTACATAATGAAATTATGTAATTAAAACAGGTTAATTACGTAACGGATTGTTCCAAATCAGTATGTGATTTTTTTTTAATCACGTAATTTAAAAAGTCACACAATGATATGTTTTTTTCTATTTCTATTATTTAATTCTTTAAAATTCGATAACTATAAAATCACATAATAGATGAAATTATTTCTAATATTATATGATTTTTCAAATTATGTGATTTTAAAAAATAAGGTAATGATTTGGAACAATCCATTATGTAATTTATTTGTTTTCATTACATGATTTCGTTATGTAACTTCGTGATGTGATTTTTTTCAGTAGGGATATATATTGAATGTAATACATTTATACTATAAAATCAATTATAGGAAACTATTTAAACAAATTTTTGTTAAGATTATCACACTGAAGAGGACCTGGTGTATAGAAAGGTCGAAATGTTTGTATGGATGTTTGTTGTTATTTTACGATAAATATATAAATATTATATAGAGAGAGAGCATGAACATCAAGCGTGGCTTCTTTGTCTTTTTATATATTAATATAATATTATTCTAGTAAAAATAAGAATTTTAGTAGATTTTACCAGAAATATTATATATCAGTTTCGGTTATTTCAAATAAAATGCTAATAAATTTAACCAAAAAATTCTGATGCGTCCGATTTCAACCAGAAATTGTTTTCAATGTAACTATACATTAATAGTCTTTGTTAGATATAACATCCATTGGCCATTACTATAGTATCGAAGAACTCAATTTCTTCTTTCAAAAGTGGTAATGTAATCGACATATATTCAAGCACTTTAAGCATTGGATACCACACTACAAAATTTGTTTCTTGTGATAAGAATTGTGCGAGATTCCAAAATACAGATACGTTGAGCTGACGTTCCATCATCAAATAAAATGCATCATCAATGATTTTAACACGATTAATAATACTTATACTCTCATAATCTCCAGCTGTATCGTTTAAATGTTTTGCAATGGCGTCCCATGTTAATGAATCATATTTGACGCGGTAGTATCCTATTCAGTTACAAAAAATATTTTATTAAACGATATTATAAGTTTTACAATATTGACATTGAGAGGAATTTTTTATTTTATTTTATCTTCTTTCTAATATTAAAGGGAATACATATATATCTAAAGAGATATATGGGAAATTAATGTACCTACACATGTGTGCGTATTTGAATAGATGTATTCGAATGTTTCATATGTTTAAAATACTCATCATGCATATATTTTTATTATTATAGTGGAACATCGAACATCCGACTTATTGTAAAATATTTGCAGAAAAAAAAGTATCTCTTACTATTTTTATAATTACATAAAACGTAAAATTTTTTATATAATTTACCGGCATGCTGAATATCCACCATCCAATAATCCATCAATAATTGAGGAAGACTTATTTTTATAGAATTAATATGTGATGTTAAACATGTTTCGTAATTTATATTTAAAGATATTGCCTTTAAATTTATGGGTATTAACCACCTGCTGTAACTCATATTGTAACTTTGCGACAATATATTAGTAACTTTGGAACCAGTGATTCGTTTCCAGCTTACAACAGGATAATGTTTGTATTGTATCCAAGTTGAGAACTCATTCAATGATGTATAACAGTGATATGCTTCACCTAATTTTTCTTTCATGGACCAGAAATTATAGGACATTATTGAACTGAACGTCCTAAATTTAAAAAATTACTGTTAGTAATCAGCAAAATGGAATAAAAATGTGAACCATATAACTAAACTTGTACATATATAAAAAACTCTATAACACAATTTTATGTTATCACATATTATATATGAAAGTAGCAGACTTATAAGGACTTAAAGAGACAGCTTATTTTTCGGAGATGAAATTAAAAATATATAAACGGATAAGGAATGAAAGACATGAACGAATGAGATTGAAAAGTAATACGTATGAAGGTGAAAAACGAAGTCGTTCTAAAACATTGCAAATATTATGAAAATACATATTTTTAAAAACTTTAAGAGTTGTCTATGATAATTGTCTATAATAGTTGTTATATAAACTTAACTCTCACACACGCACGCACGCACGCACGCACGCACGCACGCACGCACGCACGCACAAGGTATTTGAAAAGAATGGGATCCCCTATAATCTCCAAAAGTACGCACTTTAGTTGCACCAAAAATTCATTTCTACATAAAAATGAAAACAAGAGGAATAAGCTCCAGTTACCTCGATCTCGACAAATGTTATTTAGGACATGATTCTAAACAATATTCAAGCAGTTTTAGCTGTCGGTCAGATATCTTGCGTAATGCCAATACCGGCGATATTGTAACATTCAAGCAATACCTTGTAACTCGAAATGTACTTCATAAAAAAATATTTTATTACAGTGTTTTGAAAAGCTCTCGAGGATAGCTACAAGAATATTTAATGAAAAATTGGGGTTCCATTTAAGAAATTAAAAGTGACCTTTATGTGATCTTCAAACAATTATTCCAAGTCAAGTTCAAGGCCACCAAAAGATAGACCTTCATAACCATTACAACTTTTATTCGGATCATTTTCCCTGAATTTGCGTACTTTTAGAGATCATAAAGGGGCCCTATTCTTTTCGAATACCTTGTATAAGATGTAATTAATTGTTATATTATCTTTACTCACTGTCTGCTTACATATGTATGGATATTTCTTCGAAACACTTCATCGGTAAGAAAATTTTGAAACATCCGTAAAAGAATTATTGCTACAATAAGAGACATATTAATACATCGTAATTGAATTTTTCCTAACTAAACATTTCCTCTCATTTTTTTCATAATATTTATATATATCAATTTGTACGAATTAGAAATGCCTATGCTGAAGCTAGATAGGTTGAAGCAATGAGAATACAATCAACATGAACTAGAAATGCCTATACTGATCGAAGCTAGATCTTTAATGCTTAAATAATTTAAACTATAGAAATCAAAGCCTTAAACGGTCTAGCTGGATCTTAATGCTTGTATGATTCTTATGTGAATTTATATACTCCCTGTGTAGTCCCCAGAAACGCGCGCCGAAATAATTTTTCAGTCTTGAAACGCTAACTCTATTAAATTACCACAGTAATATTACGAGTTAAATTGACTAGCAATGTAACAAATTTTGATGCTTATTTGCATCTTTGAAACGGTCTTAATAATGTTGAATGACATATTAAAATTTGTAAATAATTAATTCTTACTGCGAAAAATGTTACCTCGGGCGGGAGTCGAACCAGAATCTTTTGCATTTCGTACAAGAGAATTAATTTAAATTGACAAGCAATTTTTAATAATTTGATGTTCAATCAGGCATCATATTAGAAAGATGTTAATGTGCTGAAAAATAAATTTAAACCAATTTGGAAAACCAATTCGGCGCGTCGTTCGAAAGACTACAAATACGATATATATGCATGTATATATATATATATATATACATATATATAGTATATATACATATATATATAGTATATATATAATTTACATTCAATTATTTAAGCATTACAGATCTAGCTTCGACCAGTATAGGTATTTTTAATTCGTAGTGATTGCATTCTCACATATGTGGTCTAAGGTATGGTTCTTATTGTGTATAAATTTGTACTGAAAGATTATTTTATTTGTTTTTACCTTTCATGTAGCGAGAAAAACTGAAAATTAAATTAATGTCCGATAGGTTAGTGATTTCCACAGGATTCATATTAAAATGAGAATCCAGATGAAGAGATTCGTATTGATTCTGAATTATGAAGAGATCCAAAATTTCAGAATTATTGAAGCTCTAAAAATAATGTTTCATAATTATACGTAAATGTTAAGGCAAAACACATGTCCGCATTGTGATCTATCGTGTGCTACTGCATACTATATGTATACGTATGCATGTTGCGTATTATTATTAAAATCATTTTACAATTTTTATAATTCAGTGTAGAAATAATTAGCGAATCGAATTATTAAAATAAGTTTACACACAATATATGATTTAAATTGTGAAATTTTTTAACATTTAATTGAAAAGATTTTAACGAGTTTTTTTTAACGAAAAGCTTACATATTATTATTATTCCTACTTATGTGTATATCGTCGAAAATTTCAGATAATATATTTATTTGAAAGATAGGATCTCACAATCATCAGATCTAAGTCTTAATTATAAAAAAAAATGTTATATATTACAAAAATATATCTTTCATATTGTTGCGATTAATAAATATAAAAACCTTAACAACAGCTTCTTCTCCGAACATAGTAGCAAAACCGTCGTGTAACCAAAAATGAGACCACTAAATGTTGAGTACGTTACTAAACCATTGATATGCTATTTTAGGTGCTATTAAACGCGCAACTTCCATTTTGCGCATAACAGAATCCAATGTTTTATCATAAATAAGATTGGCTTCCCTAAAAATTATTATAATTGCTCTAACATTCAATAAATTCTTTGTTTT